GGACAACCAAAAATGCCCCACAAATTTCCAGACATCCCCCTAGGGTACATGCCTCTTCCATGTTGTGCCATGAGGGTATTGAATTGCCACAGAGCTATTCTGTGGGAAGAGATCATGACCAGCCTGGAGCTCTTTTTACCTTGATATATTTGTGTTCATGAAAATCAAATTCTGCTTATCAGTCATTGCCTTATCTGATTAAGTTGGTGATTATTATTTTCATAACTGATGGCTCTTCACTGTACCCTGATCGATTTTCCCATTTAGTTTACAATTCCTCAATGTTTCTCTTACCAAGGGGGTTTTCAAGCATCTAAGCTGTAAGGATGGGTGACTGCCATAAGGCTAGGCCCCTGCACATGGACAGCCAGTGTCCTAGATGTGAAGGACCACAGGAGGAGTGACAGTAACTGCTGCAGGGCTTCAGAGGAGAGAGTGAGAAGGAACAGAGGGTTTACAGTGGGAACTTTGGCCCTACAGCCCTAGAAATTCAGGAAACCATATAACTGATGGAGCTGGCTGGGCCAAGAGAACATATCCCTCCAGCCTTGCCCACATGGCATTTTTTTCTCCCAGGTCTCCTAAGTATGGAACTTTTCTCTACAGTAGTGAGTTTTAGTCAGTGTGCCGCAAGAATTTTTAATACATACAATGCTCGACTATTTAGTAGGGGCACTGATTTCTTTTCCCTTAGATTGTCAAGTAAAAATATGACAACAGCCAGCACAACAATAGCCATCCATTGAGAATGCCCTGCGTTGAACTATAAATATATAAGTCATACAATAGAGTTGCATCTTATTGGTCATGTCGCATAACAAGGTTGCATGTGATTGGTTATCACTTGGTACCAGAAATCCTTATATACAAATACAGTCACCTAATTTTTTAAAATGTCATTTTGGAGTCAAAATTGTTATTATTATTTTTTTTGTGAATCAATCAAAATCATACCTATTTTTGTTAGATCAGCAAAGAAAAAGTTTTTTGGTGTGGCACAGAATTTTAGTATTTACTTTATGTGCTCCATGAGGTGGAAAATGGTTGAAAATCACTGCTCTAGAGTTTTTGTGAACCAATGGCTGAGACCAGATGGTTCCCAAGACAGAGAGGAGGAATCCCTAACGTCAAAAGTCTTCCCGTCTGCAGTGTGTCCAGGGAGTCTGAAGCGGAGAGATGGTTGTAGCCGAGGCTTAATGTCCCCTTTGCTGTTCTTTATCACCCTCCTGTGGACTACCCAGACTGCTCTTTGTCCTGCCTTGTGGCCCATCCTTCCGCTCTTCCGCTGACTCACAATGAAGCGGGGCAGTGCCCTGTCAAGCGCGCTGCTCATTGGCAATGCCGGTTTTGTCAGTTCAGAGGACAGGGCTTGTGGCAGATCCTGGCCGGCAGGATCCGTGCATGTTGTGGCTGCTAGAGGACAAATACAGACAACAGAAGTCCTGTGGAGAAAAAAGGACAGCATGGCCGCTCTCTGAGAGAGAGAGAGAAAGAGAGGGCCAGGGGGCCCTAGTGCCTGCCTGGACAGGCTTTTGTTGCCTTTCTGGGTACATTACATGGAGAGTAGTCCTCATTTACTATGCACAGGTTCACTGAAGGGGGTTACCTTTTACAGATAACAAAGGAAAGAATGCTGCTAATTACTTCAAAGAGAAGGATGTTGCAGACCAAGGGGAAAAGTGGTTGAACTGGTCACATTCCATACTTGGGAAATTTAGCACAGACTTTAGGAAGTTACAGTAAGCACTTGCTGCCTCAATTCAGGGTGAGGGAGTTTTAGCAAAAGCAAGTCTCATAGCAGTCTAGGTACAATGCAGGCCTGGTTCCCCATGGGAGAACCTCTCTGTGGGCGTGGTCCTGCGTGCCACTCGCTCCCCACTGGTTTTCCATGTGAGTACTGAGCTACATTTCCATGCCATATGAAGCAGTTCCCTATAAGGGCTCTTAGTTAAAATTAGAGTTTGGGATTTTCTTTTTTTCTTCTTTTTAAATTTTTGTTGAAGTGCAGTTGTCTACATTTTCCCCCCACCACTCTCCCTGACCCCAGCCATTCCCACCTCCCTCCCCTGATCCCAAACCCCACCTTGGTTTTGTCCACGTGTCCTTTATAGTTGTTCCTGAAAACCTTTCTCCCCTTTCCCCCTATTATTCCCGCCTAACTCCCCTCCAGTTCCTGTCAGTTTGTTCTTTATTTCAATGTCTCTGGTTATATTTTGCTCGCTTGTATGTTTTGTTGACTAGATTCCACTTAAAGGTGAGATCATATGGTATTTGTCTTTCACCACTTGGCTTATTTCACTTAGCATAATGCTCTCCAGTTCCATCCATGCTGTCACAAAGGGTAGGAGCTCCTTATTTCTTTCTGCTGAGTACTTTCTGCTGAGTAGTATTCCACTGTGTAAATGTACCATAGTTTTTTGATCCAGTCATTTACTGATGGGCACTTAGGTTGGATTTTCTTTATAATCATCTATTTTGTCTCCTACCCACTCCCCCTGGCAAATTATCAAGAACTGCTTATGAACATCTTGATTTCTACTTTTAAGTCTTTCTAGAGTATTAAGTCCAATAGCCTCTGTCTTTAACATTCTTCCTTATTTTTTTAAAAGTAACTCTCCCTAAAAATTGAATGGTAGTCAGTTATTTCAGATTTTAGATGTCATCCCTCCTGTCTCTGAGATGATGCTCCTTCACATTTGCTAGGATTTTGACTTTCTTTTTACCCTAAGCAGAAAAAGGAATTTATTGATTGATAAGGTTGAGAGAGATATTGGGATGATCAGAGAATTAACGGAAGACCTAAAGGAACCAGGACCTCGGGTGCTGGAGCAGAGCCCTGTGCCTTCGGCACTGCTCTCCCTTGCCTCCTCCCTTGCTCTGCCCTTGACCCTCAGCCCTGTACCAGGTAACCTGGCACAGCAGCCCTGCTGAGCAACTCAATGCAGAGAATGTTCTCCTTTCTCAATATCTCTCAATTAAATATTGATTATTTAATCATTGTAATTATTTTCCATGAAGAGAGAATCACTTTGGCTTAACCGAGCTATGTGCACCCTCTGTAACTGACATTAATGAGAGAAAAATCACATGGGGCCTTGGAATTTCCCAAACAGGATGTCAGGTTAGGGGACACTAATGGTGTTAGAACAGAATGACAGAGTATCTGGCTCACTGGGTCCCTTAGAAATCAAACGTGTTGTCAATGTCCCTCTATCTAGAGAGAATCATTTGGACACATTTATGTCAATTAAGATAACTCATGTTTTCTTGGTTTATTATTAGGAACTTTTTCCTGCTGTCTCCCTGCTTCCTCTCATCCCGCCTCCCCAGCTATTGCTAATTGAGTCAGCAATGCCCAGAAAGTAACTTCCTCTGCTCTACAACGCAGAAACTGATAGATGAACATCTCCTTATTCTCAGAGGTGAAGGGCACGGAGCTGTCCTCATTCCACTCTCATTACCAGTTTTATCTGAGTCATTATCTATCATCTGGTCTTGTTTGACAGCATCCCCTGGTGGCCTCTTAGAATAGGGAGAGAGACTAGAGGTCGTCTTGTCTGGTATGGGACATGTCAGCATCACTGAAGTGCTTTCCAGAGCAATCATGTCCAGACAGACAGCTCAGTCAGTTCCCACTGCACACCTTATGCATGAGAAGGCCTCACTCACGTCTAGAGGCAGTAAAGCTGTGCTCCAAGGTGATGCTGGAGGAGAGAGCCGTGGATGGGGGATATATGGTAGCAGCCATGTCTGCGCATACAGAACAGATGCTGGGACTAGCAGGAGAGAAAAGGGGCGGTGTCAGGAATTCACTTCTTCTGATTTTTCAGAGGACCCTGATTAAGGCTCACATAATGGCCACAGGTGATTCACAGCAGGGTCCCCAGAGGTAAATAAGCCGTCTTCTGGAGAGTCAACTCTAGCTTTGTCCTTTTGGCCTGCCATGAATCCAGCTAATTCAGAGTTCTGGTTGTAGTTGGAGCACAGTTGAAATCAGGATGCAGGTGACCACCCCAGAGACGTGCAGGTTTCCCAAGAATATTCAGGACCTGCTTTTACTTCCTCTCTTTCCTATGTCTTTGGATTAGGCTGAGGCATTTCTCAGAAGCCATGTGTGTCTGGCTGTTGCACTGTACCTGGTTATCATTTTAAATACACAGTCTCAAAGGACAGTCCCTGTGATTTCATCATGGGGCTCATGCACTCCAGACACAGCATTGTGATCTCACTTGAGAGGGCCACCACAATGGTCAACACCGAGAAATAAAGCCCTTGTTGACTTTATGACATCCTCAAGAAGATGTTAAAAAGGGAGGAAGAAGTGCAGTGAAGACCTTGGCTGGACGGATGAGCAGAATTCTTTACCATCAGCACTGGAAAACATCTCCCCGGCTCCCCTGCATGTCAGGTGCTATGATGAGCCGCCATCTGCTGACGCTGCTGCAAGCTCGCTCTCAGGGTGGCGTGTGCCCTGAGCTCCGATTCCAGGAATGGAGTCAGCTTGTCCTCATCTCCTGCACCCTCCTCATGGGATTCCTCCTAACAGTGGGTCTGAGTTATGGGGTGATTTCCAGAGTTAAGTAAGCTGGCCCAGGAGATCACCCGGATCTTGACCTTATTACATGGAGTTGTGCTTATTATTATGGAGAGCAGTTTAAATGGTTCTTGTACCAATAGCTTTGCATGCAGGACACACATAGAGACATTCCAGCTAAATCATAGCCAGCTTCAGACCTTGTGTTATACGTGACCGAGGGAAGCCCATTTTGGTCAGAGGGAGTAACAACTTTGGGGTGCAGCTCTTCTTTCCTTAGACCAGAATGAGCCTGTTGTCAGGTAGAAGTGTTGATCCTGTTTAAAAAACAATTTTAATTCAAATAGCAGTTCAGGCTGTCGGGGAGGCATCCTGGGCCGATGACCATCAAGAGCTGGGTGACATGACGTTCCAGTTTCACTTTTCCACCTGTGTGATGAGATGCACTCTTGCATTTGGCCCACAGGTGCAGTTCCTCTCCCCACAGGCTCGCCGGCGATTCCACGCGGCCCTCGCCTCTTGTTCCACCTCCATGCTGATCCTGTCCAACCTGGTGTTTCTTGGGGGCAGCCAAGTGGGGAAGATCTACTGGAACAGGATCTTCATACAAGGTCAGTTGCTACGCAATGCTGTTTTCAGCCAGCTTCTTGTTTTCCTCGGACGCACTCGGTAACTTGGATGGGCAGCAGGGGGCCCTTCATTGTTCTGTTTATGGTGTGTGACCTACAGAAATACCAGCCGGGAAATACATCCCTGAGCTATGATGTACCTCTTTTCTGCACCATGTGATACTTAACATCAAAATGTACTTACTGTACCAGCTCCCCCAAACTCTGCCATTCCATTCTGCTAAGTCACCCTTCCATTTTTTTCATTTGTTCCCAATCTTACTGCCTGCCTATAGGTCCCAGCCTTCAGTACACTGCAGAGCCTAACCTTGTTCCATTTACCGCTCTGAAAGTCCTGCGAGGATTATGTCCCAGAAGGCCCGCTGTGCTCTGCTGAAGCTGTGGGTGTGGCGCTAGGGTTTGCCATGACTCTTTGCGGGGCATGATTTGGTCTGAGCACTGGGATACCAGTGTGGCCAGCTGACTGCATGTTGAATGTACACTAAGTGGCTAATTCCAATGTCCACAGCAAAGCTATACCGGTAGCAAGTGAAGTGCTAGTTCATCGGAATTATTGTGAAAACGTTGCATTAATAATTGATCATCATTTATTTAAGGTCACCATTTCCCTGGGGCTAGACTAAGAGTTGCATCATGTCCTTCAGAGAATTGGGAGAAAGCGAAACACTCACAGCCCACACTACGTTAGCCAATTGCCTGTGTTCTGTTTCCCTGGCCGGTGATGGTTTGGGAAGCGTTGCCAAGCAGTGGTGACGTGACGCTGCACGACTAGGCTGTCATGTCCACATGGTGGCAGGCTTGGCTGAGCCAGGCACCTAGGGCCCGAGAGCACACCCCATTCTGCTTTCATCTCCTCACTGCAATACCCCTCTTTGATCTTGCCTCCTGGTAGTTCCTGCAAAGACTGTACTTTTTGGGTGGAGGCTGTGCTTTAATAAAGATGGGAGATAATGGGGTGCAGAACATCTAAAGATAAAAACTGCTCCTAGGGGTGGGTGACAGTGTCTTACTTAACCTGCCTCCTACCATCCATAGCACCGAGCACGACACCGAGAACGCTATGGCCCAGGGGAACAGGTGAACTCGCACTGTGGGGGTCACATGAGCACAAAGGCTCTGCTCTGTGCTTTGGTGAATCGAACAGACTGGGTGTTTGCGATTGGAAAGGCACTGAGAGGACGGGAGTGGGATGAGAAGCACACGCCAATGTGGGACCCAAACAGGAGCGTGTCGATAGGGTCAGGTAACTCCTGTGCCAGATGCTGGAGTAAGTGGCCAGAGGTCCTAGGATGGAGCGGCCGACCTTCCCTTGAAGTTGGATTTCCCGGAGGAGGTGAGGTGGCATTTGAGTTGGAGTTTTGAGCACTATAAGTAGGAACTTGCCAGGTGGAGAAGGCAGGTACATGGGTTATTTAACACTCGCTACTATGTCAGATAATTCCAAGCTCGCGGTAATTTTTCCCCATAGAAGTTTTTTCTTCTCACAATTCAGTGTGTCACAGCCATTCTTCTAAGCAATGACTCCTGGGCCTAGGAGGTTTCCCTTTTGATTACCCACTGCCGTGTCCAGGCCTCGTGGAGGGGAAGAGACGTGGGGATGGTGCACAGGAACTAAATACCCCGCCGGGGATGCACAGCATTTCCGCTCACATTCCATTGGCCAGACCCAGTCACGTGACCCAGCTACGTGCAGGGTCGGGGGAAGTGGGAAAGAACACAGGTATTAGTGGCCTGGCTCAGCGGGCAAAGGTACCTGAGGCAACCAGCTGGAGGTGCCCCAGGGGCAGTTGAAAATATAAGTTGGAGTGGGGAGAAGGGCAGGAGGAGTGACTGAGGTGTGAGGGTTGAGGGCATAAAGGTGACACGCATGGCCATGGGAGTGTACACAAGTGGACAGGGAACGTGAACAAGTGGACAGGGGTGAGAAGGAGTGGGCTGGGAGGTGGATCCTGTGGGGCTGGCATTTAAAGGGCAGAGAGAAGGGCACCAGCTGTATAATGTCCTTTCTGCTTCTCAGAGCCGGAAGCTTGCTGCCATTTGCTGTGCACCCTGTGGCACTGACATCGGCTACATGGGCTCAGGGCTCTGCTGCCACAGTGTGGGTCCCACTTGGGTCTACGACCGGATCTATGTTGTGTCTTCCTTGCAGCCAGGTGCCTGATTCTGCAGGTGCCGGAGTCCTGGGGACTGACCCTCTGAGTGTGGCGAGCTCTGTGAATTGTTTCTGTCTGGGCTCTGAGCCACGGGAGCTCAACTTGGCATTTTCTGTGTTGGAGATTCTGCAGATCGGCCTGGTGCTGTCTCTGATGCTCTGCCCTGTGGCCTCTGAGTCAGGGCATGCGGACTGGGGTTGGCAGTTGTCCCATTTGCCTGGTCTTTGTTTTTGTCCCTGAGTGATTGAGTTTATGTATCTTCTGGAAGAAAGTAAACCAGGTGGTGCCAAGTTCCCCACCCTTGAGGAGTCTGGGTTTTTTTTTCATAACCAGAAGATTAGTATGAATATTCATGTTTTGGTACAAAAATGTATTAATGAGTCCATTGGATGCTCCCTCAGACTCTGTTGGGGTATCATATTAGTTTTCTAAAATCTAAAACAAAACTTGGATTCTGGAAATCCACAGGTTTCAGATAAGGGATTGTTGACCTGAATGTGTAGCTGCTGGTGAGTGAGCCAGGAGTTGGGCAGGCTGGTGGTCTCTGGTCTCTGCCCTCGGCCACACGAGCAGGTGTGGTGGGGTGAGAGAGGGGGCCTGTCTGTAGGGGATGGAGAGCGTTTCGGCCCAGTGTCTAGATCTCCAGGTTTAACAAAAGGTGACCCTTCCTTGGGGGTAGCCGCCATTGTCCCTCTGTGCCTCCATGGGCTGGGCCCGCTGCAGTGGCCATCTCACCTCAGTGGATCCTGGAGGAGCAGGAAGGGGACAGAGAGGAGTCTGGAGAACAGAGCTCAGTGGGGAGGTGGAAGAGACATCTTCACTGATTCTTAGAGAGCCCTTTCCCAGCATCACTGATGTCTTAAGAAGTAGCTCGTGTTTAGCCTAGAGGAGTTGTCTTAAGGTCAGTATCTCTCTTACCTCCAGTTCACTGAATTTAGACATGAATTTGTTTGCTTTAAGCAGAAAGCCTTATTTCAGTAGCTTATGTAAAAATGTCTCCTGGTCTCCATGGGGCTGGTGATACGAGGCTGCAAAACCAGCGCCCTCTCTTCCCGCTGTGCGCGCAGCCCCCCTGTCCAGAAGAGCGGACGGGGCCAGCCAGGGACGGAACCGCTGCTCTCTGAGTGGCATTACACACAAAGCATTTCTATCGAGTGTTACTCTGCTGCAGAGGTGGGGGGTGTAATGTTCAATTAACGCAGTTGAGAAAAAACAATCTATATCTTTGCCTTTAAAATACTCTCCAAACCTTTGTGATTGAAGTAGCTTGAGGAATGTGGGTGTGTGAGTTCAGGCACAGGTGCCCGTGTGTGTGTGTGTGTGTGTGTGTGTGTGTGTGTGTGTGTGTGTGTAGGGGGAGCCTGGCTGGGTCCAGGGATCTGAGAAGGATGCAACCAGGTCCCCCCGGCCGCTTTGGAGGGAGCCTGCTGTGTCATGCTCTGCAGAGGTAAATGCACGTTGCTTCTTACATAACTCTTTGGCTCTCAAAGGCACTTGTTGATGGAAGGAGCTTTCTCATGTCTGTCGTAAGTCCTTGATAGTGAAGCCTAAGTTGATTTTTAAACAAGCAGCTGATGACTGCTCTGTAACTCAAAAATATCGATGTGTTCTATGTATCCAAATCTGCAAGACTGGCCTCCACAAACCAGCTGTGTCCTTAGCCCGCTGGTGATGCTGTGGTCCTGGGGCAGTGGGGAGAGAAGGCAGACGGTGGGGATGGGTGTACATGGGACATATATCTGGCCTTGAGGGGCTGAGAGCTTTATGTTTGTTTGGGTGCAGGGTGGTGTTCCTTCAGAAACATCCATGTACTGCTGCTGTCAGCGGAAGGCCTGGGCTTTGTAAAAAGGGGACATTTCACTGGGTTCCACATCTCGGGGCATGGGAGCTCGGTAGACACGTGGATGCACCAGACACTCTCCAGCCTGACTTCTCGTCACACGTGCACACGCTTTCCCTCCCACTGCCTGATCTAATTTGGCACACTCCATCTCAGCACTTAGCTCCTGAAGTGGCTTTGTGTCAAGGCGAGAAGAATTTTGGGTCCTTTCCCCTCTGGCTCGCAATGAGAGAGGAACTCTTAATTTTCTTATGCAGGTCAGAACCTTTACACTCCCCTATTCGTTTGTTATTTCTAGCCGAGAAAGGAGAAAGTGTTTTCTCCCCGATTACTAGCCTGTCCAGGCAGTTTATTCCTCTCCTGGCTCAAACGGCTCCGGACAGGCATTTTATTTAAAGCTGAACTGAGGTGCTGTGCTGAAGTTCTGGAAAGCTGTGGTTAAATGAAACCCACTCCCCCACATCTGGTTAAATTCTGGGGACTGAAATCTCGTTTGATGAGAGAAGATGGAGGGCGGATGTCGCTGTCTCGGGGGCCTTCCTTGTGCTCGCTTGTCTCGCCGTCTTCACGAGCCCTGACCTTCACGTGGGGTTTCCATGTCTCTGATCGATTCTGCTTCTGCCTCACTGGATCCTCTGCCGGTTCTTGAACAGCCTGGGGGGCAGGAACTGCCCACCCACTGTACTGGTGGTGAAGTGGATACGTTGGTACAGGATAAGCGATTGATCCATGGTTACACATTGGTCCCTTTATGGCCATCTTTGGAATCTGAATTTCACGACTTTCAGAAGCCTCAGTTTCCCCCAGAGTATGTCAGGCACAGTCACTAGGCACGGAGCCTGAGGAATGGTGTGTGGGGTACTTGCCCAGCAGTGTGCCGGGGCATTGCCACACCTGAGAGGATTTCTGAAGTATCTGGGAGGGAGCTGGGGTCATCGTGCCCCTGAGCCCTTTCGGTGAGGCCACGTGAGACTTCTTCCTGTTAACTG